GACTCAAGTGTGGCAGCGGTAGTGAGGTTGGCCCAGGATTGGGCAAGGTTTCGTCTGCTGTGCATAAGGTCACTATGAGTTGGTACCGACTCGATGGCACATAACAAGAACAACAACCAAATAGATGTACACATGTAGTCCAAAGCACATTTATTTCTTCAGTAACACTGAAACTACTCCTCATGGAGGATTCCTGTTTCTATGTTAGGTGTTTTGTCTTCTTTCTGATTTTCTGTCTGATTAATCTCTTTGCTGTTGCTGTTGTTGTTGTTGTTGTTAAGTGTTGTCAATTCAGTTCTAACTCATAGCAGCCCCGTATAGGGTTTCCAAGGAGTGGCTGGTGGATGTGAACTACTGTCCTGCTGGTTGGCAGTCTAGTGCATATCTTACAGTGCACACCAGAACTCATGTAAATCTCTTACTCTTGATCAGTTTTTTCTTTGGATCTGTAGTCCTCTAGCTCTGTTTTGCATCTCTCTTCTGTAGAGTCTTTACATTGATTTGTTTAAATCATTTGGTTTTGCTGTTGGTCACATAACAGTTGAGACTGGATAACAAATAGGAGAGAAGTCATTATGTAGGCTGTTGGTAAAAACCTATGTAGTCCTCTTGTCTCTGTAGAAACATGATGGTTTAGTAGAAAGTTCACAGGGCTTGTATTCAAAACTCGTCTCTGTTACATCTGTGTGATCTTAGGCAAATCTTTGAAACTTCTGATTCAGTTTCTTCATTTTAAGTGTAGATGACAATGTCTGTGTCAGTCAATCTTACAGGGTTGTGAGAATAAAAATGGTTAGGGTCCATGTGAAAATACTTTTTAAGCTTCATAAATGGTCTTTATTTTTTCTCATTATTATTATTATTATTTTTTTTTTTTTTTTGTGTGTGTGTGTGTGTGTGTGTGTGTGTGTGTGTATGTAAGCAGAATATGGAGTCCTGGTATAGTGCTGTGGGCTAATGCGCTGGACTGCAAAGTCATTTGAACCACAGGGTCATTGGTTCAAGCTCACCAGCCACTCCTTGGAAACCCTATACAGTGTTGCTATGGGTCAGCAATGACTTGACAGCACATAACAACAACAACAAGCAGATTATATCATTAATGATTAAAAGCTGTTGCCTTGCATATTTTCTACCTAGGAGTGTACGTTTATTTGGTATTTCCAATGCACTGAGGGCAAATCATGTTTTTTCTTCCCTATATTGCCATGTTTAACCTTGTTTTTTGATATATTTTGCTCATAATAATCTTGTCAGCAGTTGGCTTAGTTGCAATATTAAAGTCTGTGCAGACGCTCTCAGAATATTTCCTGCTTCTTGAAATTGATTATGGTCTGCTTCCAGTACTGAAGAATGGCATTACTTGTCTGTAGCATTAAGGCTAGTGACTGATTTCTGTAGTTACTTCTAGTAGCTGTCACTCAGAAGGGGGTATACTTTTCCATGGAAAAGAGATAGACTTCCTCTAGTTGATCCTCAGGAAATCTTATCTTATTAGCTAAAAATCTGAGAAAAATCGGAATCTAGAATTGGACGATGATTGATAATGCCTTTTATTCATTATAACATAGGGAGATTTTTGAGCCTCGGGAGACTTATGAGACTTCTACACAGTCATCTCATCTCTTTCTAGAGCACAGGTGGGGAACCTTTTTTCTGACAAGGGCCATTTGGGTATTTATAACATAATTTGTGGGCCATATAAACTTATCAAGTTAAAAATTAGCCTGCTGTAATGTGATGGCTGGAACTGTGGTTGCCTTAAAAGGGCCAGACCAAATGATTTCATGGGCCTTATAGAGTTCACAGAGTTGTTGTTTCCCACCCCTGTTCTAGAGCAAAGAAAATAGCAACAAATACTTGTTTGACATTTACTATAAGTCAGGCACTATTCTAAATGCATTATATATATTAACTTTTTAAATACTTATGGAACTGTGTAAGGTAGTATGGTTGTCGGCCTCCCAAACAGTAATCCCTGTTTCCTGGTATTCATGCTCTTGTGTAATCCCCTCACAAGCTGGATAAGTCTGGTCTATGTAGTGTGGTGCTGTTGGTTAATGCACTGGACTGTTGGTTTGAACTGAAAGGTTGGTGGTTCAAGCTCACCAGCTGCATCTTGGAAACCTTTTATAGGGCTGCTATGAGTAGAAATGGACTCGACAGCACTAAACAATGACAAGAACAGTGTACTCAGTATGAGGTGGAAATGATGGTGTGAAACTTCTGAACCTTGCTCCTAAAAAAATTGTGGTTTTCGTCTTGTTCTCTTGGATTGTTTGCTCTGGAAGAAGCTCACTACTCCACGTCTTGATTAAGTTTAAATAGTTTGTAGAGAGGTCCATATGGGAACAACTGAGGCCTCCAGTTAGCAGCCAATCCCATGGGAATGACCTATCATTGAAGTGGTACTCTGCCTTAACCAAGCCTTCAGATGACTGCAACTCTTGACTGATTTCATCTCTTAAGTTCCTACTAAGGAGTTCTGGAAGGAGATCTGGTAGCATAGTGGTTACAAATCGGGCTGCTAACCCCAAGGTTGGCAGTTCGAAATGACCAGCTGTTCTGTGGGAGAAAGATGAGGCTTTCTGGTCCTGTAAAAATTCACAGCCTCAGAAACCCTGTGCAGGATCACTATGAGTCTGAACCAACTCCACAGTATTTATCAACAACTAGGAGCTCTGGTGGCATAGCGGTTAGGAGTTGGGCTGCTAACCCCAAGGTCAGCAGTTCAAAACTACCAGTCGTTCTGTGAGAGAAGGGTGAAGCTTTCTGTTCCCATAAAGATTGACAGCCTTGGAAACCCTGTACAGGGTCGCTATGAGTCCACGGCACACCACCACCACCAAGTTACTACTGAGTTCCTGACTACTGCTACTGTGAGATAGTAAATGCTTACTGTTGTTTTAATCCCTAGGTTTAATCCCTGGGGGAGCTTGCTATGTAGGGACAAATAACACATGCCGAGTTTCGGTTCTTAGATGTGAGGTGCTACCATAAAAAGTACTGTAAAGTATGGGAGTGGCTTTAGAACTGGACATTGGACAGATGCTAGAGGTACTTTTGTTGTTGTTATGTGCCGTGGAGTCAGTTCCGACTCATAGCAACCCTGTACAGGGTTTCCAAGGCTGTAAATTTTTACGAGAGCAGAACGCCTCATCTTTCTCCTTCGGAGCAACTGGTAGTTTCGAACTGCTGACCTTAAGGTCCACAGCCCGATTCGTAACCACTGTGCTACCAGAGCTCCTTGGAGGTACTTTTAGAAGGATGTTAATGAAAACTAAAGTATCTTGAACATATTTTTAGTGGCGGCCTGGTAGCTTTTAAAGAGGCTTTTATTTTGAGGGATTAAATGTGAGACAAATGCTTTTGGAAACTGTTCCACACAATAGAGAATTCATACAAGTAGGTATTTCAGTCTTTGTTTTATTCAGTATAGATGGATGTGGGTGTACAACATTTTTTTTTGTGTGTGGTGGCTGTTGAGTCTACTGTTCATTGTTAATTGTTGGGCATATATTATTTTTCACCATCTTATAGGAAATGACATTCATGTTGGGCCCTTTGACAGGTACTTGAGGATTGGTCATAACAGAAGAAGGCTTAGAGGGTCCTGCAGGATGTGGTAGAATGTGATTGCTTCTGATGGGTCTGAGTAACAAGAATGAAACCTCCGTCTTTTAGAGGTTTAGAACTCTGTGGAAGAGTGTTGGCAAATACCTTAATGATTTCCATAGCAAAGGGATTCATATGGAAATGATCATAGGACCATAGTGAAGCCAGAACTGGAGCTGATTTCTAATTTTGTTCGGTCTTAGTTGTGTGATTTTGTATCTGATTCCTGATCTGTAAACTGGGAATAATCATAGTTTCCGTCTCATAAGCAGGATAAGGATGAAACAACAGATACTTTATAACTGTGTCTGCCTTCTACTGAATACTACTTGTCATGTGACTACAGAAAGCACACATTGTCATGGACAATTTCAACTAACTCTTAGAACACAGAGTGACAGACACTTTCTTATATCTAGCAGCAAAATGCAAAGTAGGCTAATCTCATATTTGGTTTTCAGAACTATAACTATGCATTAAAGTGTTTGATTTCATGCTTATTAAATTTGACATAATCAAGACAGTACAACTGAAAAATAATGTCAGCCAACAATCTAGTGCCACAGGCATGTGCTGTTCATTTCTTTTCATGTAAAATGTTATATTACATGTTTTATTTCTAACTAGAGTAAGTTGCATTTGTTAAAATTATGATGGTAATATTTTAAGAATTAGTATTGCTCTGAGAACATTTTGTTAGATTAATTTCTATTGATATTTTAATGTATTTGAACATCTATGAAATATTGAATTATAATTGTTGCATACCTTATATTTGCTTAAGTTTAGTTTTCTTTTCCTATAAAAGATTTTTTATTAAAAAACTCTTCTATAATACTTTAAGCTAAATAAAGAAATAACCCTGTATTATGAATAACTGGTTCAGGAGCTAAGGAAACTTCAGTGAGGCTTAAAATAAATTAGAAAATCTGCTGTTACAACTTTTCTGTCCATTATATGAGGGAACTTCAAACAGTGTGCAAAAATTCTGTTGTATTTTATTTCCATTTTCCATGAACTTTTTGAAGCCCCCTCATATTCCTTACCTCTTTTAATTTGTCTTATTACATTTGACATATTTTGCAAGCTGAATAAAGTACTTCTTAGAATCAAGCTAGAAATCATTAGGTTGTAAATAGATGGAAATGAGGTTTTTCATGTATTTGGGGTGTATATAATAATAATTAAAAATTTAAATGTATATTGTCTTATAACCTTTCAAATTTATAGGCTGTATAGGAATAAAAAGTAAAAACAAGACCCGAAAAACATGAATCTACCAACTTCTTGGTGAGGTCTATTGGCTCTAAAACTGTGGTTTAAGCAAATCAGTTAAAAATATAATATTTTCATATTTTTTTGAAATTATTACTTGACAATAACAGAGGTCACCATAACAGAAGCATCTGAAGATGACTACGGTTATGAAGAGGTAATTTGTTCATTTTGGTTTTGATTCTCTAGTTAATTGCAGACATTTTTGTGAAATATTCATTTTATTTTCTGAAACAAGTAAACAAGTTTTTTTTTTTTTCTTAGGGATGCTAGTTTTTCAACTGAATTTAGCTAATAGCAACTGGTTAGGAGTGAAATGTGTTACAATGACCTAAGCATTTAAACTGACAAATCTGACTCCTGGTGTTCCTGTTAGCTAGTTTTCTGTGTCAGCTCCTGTACGGAGTGTCATCTCTGTCTGGCAGGCATTTCCCCTCATCTAGTTGGCTCTGGGCAGGGCTTCCCAGACTCCCAGTGCTCAGCTGGAGATCAGGCCCTGTTCTGCCTTCCACCTTACTGCATTTGCGTCTAATGTGGATCCCATCTCAAAGCTCTCTGTTCATTCATTGTTCCCAGGAGACCTGTCATTACTTCTGAGCCTTTAGTAATAAAATTGCTGCTAGATGACAGAACATGTGAAGAAAATGGAGACGAAAGCCTGGCAATTTCTGGGCTGGGTGAGGAAGAGACAGGTCAAACAGGAGATTCCCTCCCCTCCAACCCCCGCCCCCCACCACTTTTTCAATTTTTTAAAAAATTGCTGATAAAATGTAAAATGGAGATAATGATATACACACATGAAACTACTGTATGAGGTAATTTAAAAAGGGCTTAGAATAGTAGTTGGCTCATAGGAAGCATATATGTGTTAACTAGCATTAATACGAGGAACTCTGGTAGCTTAGTAGTTACGAGTTGAGCTGGTAACCTCAAGGTCAGCAGTTCGAAACTACCAGCTGTTCTGTGGATGAAAGATGAGTCTTTCTGCTCCCATAAAGATTTACAGCCTCGGAAACCCTATTCAGGGTCGCTATGAGTCACAACCAACTCCATAAACATAACCAAGCATTAATATAATTAGATATTTAAATATAATTACATTATTTAAAAAAAAAAACAACACTAAAATACCAGGCAGTGAGGGTTTTTAAAAATTTATTTTATTTTTAAATCAACTGGAGATTTTCAGTTGCTAGTAGTCATGAAAAAAAGTGGTGGGTGGAGAAGACAACCTGAGATAGAGTCACTGGTGACATTTCGATGGGCTAACTGTTGTTTTCCCCCCAGTGGAGGTGCTAGACTACATTTGCTGCTAGATAAAAGCAGTCACCCATAAGTTAATCATGAATACATTAGATATGACACAGAGTGATGTTTACAGGAAAACCAGAAGCTGCCTGCTTATTAGTTGTTCATGTTTCATAGGTGTTCGAGTGACTTGGTGTCTTTTGCTTTGCTTGTGAAGAAAAGTGATTTTGAAATAAAATAAGGTATTTTTATACTCCTCCTCACTCTTCCTACCCTTGTCTTTCTTTGTGATTTAGATACCAGATGATAACTTTAGCATTCCAGAAGGTGAAGAAGATCTGGCGAAAGCAACTCAGATGGTACAAGAACAGGCTACAGATGCTTTTATTTTGGTGAGAATTTTGAACATGATTGTAGTCTGTAGTTTAGCAGAGAAACTTTTATGCTAAGTTTTGAAAGTCATTCAAACTTTAAGTACTTTACCTTCATGCAGCCCTATTACCTTCTGTTGTTATTGCTGTGAAGTGCTGTCAAGTTGGTTCAGACTCACAGCGATCCTGGAGAGGGCTTCTGAGGATTTTAAAATCTTCATGGTTACAGAAAGCCTCATTTTTATACTGTGGAGCAGGTGGTGGTTCACAGTCTAGTGAGTGTAATGTGGAACTACTGCACTGCCTTGTTCCTTCTATGTATTCATATTTATCATCAAGTCTTCACTTCAGGTAAACAGTCATATTTTCTCTTCTTTGAACTGACCTGCTTCACATCGTAACTACTCGTGCCTGACTGTGCCGTGAGTGACACTTTCCCGCAGAATTCTGCCTGTTTAATCTCACTTACATCCCTCCAAGGAGCTTTATCACTCATGTGCCTGTCAGAGTTCTTCAGAGAAACATTCAGTATGATACGTGCGCTTGCATGTGGTTGTACACACATATGTCTACATCTATGTGAATATGACTTATTTTAAGGACTTGCCCTGTGATTGTGGGAGCTACCAAGTTAGAACATGTATATTTCTAGGATAGTCTGGACGGCTGCAAAATCAGGCAGGAAGTGATGTTGCAGATGTGTATCTGATAGTTGTAGGACAGGCTGAACACTTGACAGGAGTTGACATTGCAATCTTGAGGCAGAATTTCTTTTTATCTGAGAAACCTGAGGTTTTACTTTTAGGCCTTCCAACTGAAGATTACTGGATATTTCTATTCAGTGTCTTCTTAATTCCCACCAAGTGATTAGGTGGGGCCATACAAATAAGGTATACAGGACTCTTATGACTGGGATTGGTCGGTTTTGCCATCCAGCTAGATTTAAAAGGAGCAACCACAGAAGTGGGAACAGAAGATCCCAGGACCATCAAAAAGAAAGAACATGAGAGGAGTGTGAGATCCCTACCTAGAAAGGCAGTGACGACAGAGGTGACGGCGTGGAGAGACAGAGGAGCTGTGGGCTCTGGGCCCATGGACTGAGGCAGAGGCCACGGGGCCAAATGGCTGAAAGGCTAAAAGATGGAGGTGTGCCTGCAGTATGGCAGACAAGAGGCGTTCCTGACTGGAGAACTGCTGCATCCTGAGATTGAGAACTGTACGCTATTTAATATTCACCCCATAATTATGAATATTGCTATGGGTTCTGTGTGGTCATTACGATGGATTATCCAACCCAAATGTAAAGCAGAGAGTGCTCTGGGAGGGATGGTTGGTGTCAGAATAGGATCAAGAAGGCTGTTGGGTAGGAGCATGTCTGACCGCCATTTTACAGGTATCAGCCATGAACTGATTTTGAGTTAGATTCCCTTAACCCCTTGTGATGCCAGGGAAAGTCAGACTGGTGTCCACGTGGTTTTTGCACCTACCCATATTTTAGAGAGGGTCATCTCCTTTACTGAAAGAAATCTGACTGTGGGAATTAACGACATCTACAAAATACCTTCACAGCAACACAGCCTGCCTCACCAACTTGACATCATGATTCATAGACAGAAATTGGGTATTTGATACCAATTTTGCAATCTGTTTTATAAACAGATGGGAAAAAAAAACCAAAACGTTGAGGTCACACACAAAAATAAAGATGTCTTATTGGAGCAATATTTAACCAGGCTTTAACTGAGGTGAGAGATCTACCCTAGGAGACAGTTCAGTATTAACTCAGGTCTTTCTGGACATATGTTTTGCCCTGAGCATGCATGTGACCTCTCACAATATCCACACGTTAAATGTTGTTGTTGTTTTGTGCCATCAGATTGCTTTGACTCATATAGACCCGTATGTAAGTCCTGGTGTGGTACTGTGGGTTAATGTGATGGACTGCAAGGTTGGTTTGAACTGCAAGGTCGAAAGATCAAGCTCACCAGCCTCTCCTTGGAAACCCTATACAGAGTCGCTGTAAGTCAGAACTGACTTGACAGCACTTAACAACAACCCTGCATATGGTTTCTGAGGAGTGGCTGGTAGGTTTGAACTGCTGACTTTACTGAGAGCTTTCCAGGGCATATCCTACATCACCACACCAGGACATTTTAAATTGTTGTTAGGTGCCATCGAGTTGATACCGTCTCATATCGACCTTATGCACAACAGAACGAAACACTGCCCGGTCCTGGGCCAACCTCCCAATTGTTGTCATGCTTGAACCCATCGATGCTGCCACTTTGCCAATCCATCTCGCTGAGGGTCTTCCTCTTTTTCTCTGACCCTCCACCTTACCATACATGAAGCATAATATTCTTCTCCAGCAACTGGTGCCTCCTGACAATGTGTCCAAAGTATGGGAGACCAAGTTTGGCCATCTTGACCTCCAAAGAACACTCTGGCTGCACTTCTTCCAACACAGATTTGTTGGTTCTTTTGGCAGCCCATGGCACTTTCAATATTCTCTTCCAACACCATAACTCAAATGCATCAATTCTTCTATACTCTTTCTTATTCGCTGTCCAGTTTTCATGCATATTAGGTTGGTTATTGAAAATACCATGGCTTGGTTCAGGAGTACCTTAGTCCTCAATTAACTTCCTAAGATAGCGATGTTTATGCATTCCATTTCATTTTTGACAATTTCTAATTTTCCTAGATTCATTGTTCATTCCATGTTCCGATTATTAATGGATGTTTACAGCTGTTTCTCTTCATTTTGAGTTGTGTCCCTTCAGCAAATGAAGGTCCCGTGGGCTTTACTCCATTTGCATCATCACGGTCAACTCTACTTTGTAGAGGCAGCTCTTTCCCAGTCGCATTTTGAGTGCCTTCCAACCTGAGGGGCTCATTTTCCGGCACTTTATCTGACAGTGTTTCTCTGCTATTCATAAGGTTTTCAGTGACTAAATATTCGAAAGTAGTTCGTCACTTCTTCTTCCTAGTCTGTCTTCGTCTGGAAGCTCATCTGAAACCTGTCCACCATGGGTGAGCCTGCTGGTTATTTAAAATACCAGTAGCATAGCTTTCAGAATCACAGCAACTCACAAACCACCACAGTACGGCAAACTGACAGATGAGCGAGCAGTGACCATTTTAAATGGATGTCTTAAAATGTCCCAGTTTCCCAAGGAAATAACTTTCCCAGCATCTCCATGTCCTTTGCCCAGGTGGTCAAAGGCTTCTTTGTTCACTTTATAGTGCCTCAGGTAGTGGTAAGCTGCCTCTCCTCCCTGAAAAACCTCCAAGATGGGGGGAGACAGAAACAAACACTTTGCTGTAGTTCTGTAGCTTCAAAGAGGCAAATGACAGATTTGGTTAGTAAAGCATTCCCTGTTTACTCCAGAACCAGGGACCAAGATCCCTAACTGGAAAATCTGCTACCATTTATAGCTGGCTGCTGCTGAATAGGGAATGGAGATGGTACCTGAGTTACTATTTAATAAAACACCCTGTCAGTCTTCCTGTCATTCTGCAAGCCTCCGCCCTGCTGCCACTATCTCCCTAGTGTTTCCCAGCGTTCCAACAATGCTAGTATTAACAAATTTTGCTTGTCTTACAGTGAAAACTTACACTCTGCAAAAATCAAACTAAGACTTATTGGAAGTCTAGAGACAATCTGGACTAGGAAGATCGTCCAAATCCACAGAGTGAAAATGGCTGCTCTGCCCGACCATAAGGAGGGAAATATTTTTGTACATTTAGAGCAGGAAAAGTTACAAAATCACAATTAGTGAAAAGATAATCAGGGGAACCAAAGGGAGTTTCTAATAGTGGGGATAGCAGGGATAGGTGTATCACACATAGTGGAAAGACATTATGAGTTAAAGAAACTTGCATGTCAGTCTTCTACAGGATGGGCACAGGACAATGGCAGGGCAGCTTTTCCTGTTAAGGTGTTAATAAAATTGCTTCCTAAGTTATTGCTATTTCTTGGGGTCTATTGTAAAGATTTAAAGACAAAGCTGTGCATAAAAACCCTTCAGGCACTTTGGGAATAGACTGTGCCTTCCTGCATCTGCTAGACCTCAGAGGAAAGAATGTCTCTTATAGGGCACAAGGTTATGTCAGTATCAAGGTTAGGTCAACGTTAAGGTTAGAGGAACTGTTGTTGAGAGAGGTGGCTTTAAAACTCAACATGAAGTCTAGATTCATCTCAAGACTTAAAATGGAGGTAACGCTCTGCTTTTAGGTTGCTCTATTTACACAAACCAATTGCTCCTATATGCTTGTTTTGCAGGAGAAAGATGAGGCTTTCTGCTTCCGCAAAGATTTAAAAAGACTCGGAAATGTTATACAGGGTCACTGTGGGTCAGAACCCACTCAGCAGCATCCAATCACCATCACCAATTTAGTTGAGTTGCAACTGAAATATTTTTTCTAGTTCTTATCATCTTCTCCTTTGCTTATATCATGGATTATGAAAGGGTTTTTTTTTGTGTGTATGTGTGTGAATTCTTTATGCACCACTCATTTGCGTTGCTAATTTTCCTCACATTGTACTTGACCATGTAAATTCAAGAATCCACTGATCTTAAAACATCAACCTTATTTTATTTGGGATTTTCACTTCAAATCCTTTAATTCACATTATAGTCAGATATACTAGATTAGAAAGTCTACAGGCAGGGTTTGGGTCTGCCTATTTCTTTAGTTAAAATTACTTGACTCTGCCATATAGTGCAAAAGTAGACAGTATATAAATGAATGGGCACAGCTACCTCTAAGACACTATTTACAAGAACAGTTAGCTAGCTAGTCCTGGCCTAACAGAGATAGACTTTTTTACTTCCAGTATGAATTTCTAGTGGAAGTTCCCTCCATTATACAGTATTTCTTCTGTAGCCACTTGCCCTTGAGTCAGTTGTGACTCATAGCGATCCTTTAGGACAGTGTGGAACTGCTCTCTGGGATTTCTGAGATTGTAAATCTTGACAGAAGCAGACAGCCTTCCTTTTCTCCCTCTGAGTGGCTGGTGGGCTTGAACAGCAGTCCAACAGTTAACCCACTGTGCTACAGGGCCAGTTGCTATACTTCTTCTATAGTGTTTGTAAAGATTGCCGTAAAAATAGGCATCAAAATTACTGTCATTCTTCAGATCCTTTTTTATCCCCTTGTGTTTGAGTTGTTATATAGTATTGAAAGGACAAGCTGGATTCCTTACTGCCCTTCAGACAATCCAATCAAACTCTTACCTCAGGGGCATTGACATTTGTTGATGCATGAAACTGACATACGGACTCAGTCTGCCTCTTCATTGAGATTTGTGCTCATGTACCATTTATCAATGAAAACATCCTGCACCATCCCACGTATATTGCAACCCAGCTCCACACATTTATCTGCCCAATCTTATATTCTGCTTTATTTATCCCCATACATTTAATACTTGCCATAGTATATTATTTATTTATTTATTCATTTTCTGTCTCCATCCATTTGATTAAAAGTTTCATGATTACAAAGACTTGTCTATTTTCTGCATGACATTATCCCCAGGGACTAAGGTAGACCCTGGCACATAACACACAACAAACATTGTCAGAAAAAAGGAATTAATGAGTCAAGCTTTCATGTTCTTAAAGGAATTAATAACTCATTTATATTTCAGGAGAAGAAAACAGTTCTTCCTTCGAAGCATGCAGAACCTGAAGTAATACAAGACTTTCTCTGCAATTTCCTGATTAAAATGGGAATGACCCGAACACTTGATTGCTTTCAGTCTGAATGGTAAATAATTTTGTGAATAAAAGACAATTTTATACAGATGCTAACATTATTTAACATGTACACTTTGAAGCATCTTGGAAGACTCTTTAGGCAAAATGATTGAAAACGTTTCTCATCCCCTGTCCTTCAAGCCAAAAACAGGCATATACAATTAGAATATACTGCAAATGCATGTTTACTAAAACGACTTTCCCAAATATTCAAACTTAAGTGATTTTCAGAATCAAGAAAATAGATTGTTATATAACGGAAAGATGTTTTATGAAATAGTTTTGTGATATCTTTTGCATAATTATTAGACATCCTACTAATAACACTGGAGTCCTGCTGTGGCGTTGTAGGATAAGGGCTTGACTGTAGGGTCTGTTTGAACTGTAAGGTCAGTGTTGCAAATCTACCAGCTGCTCAATGGAAACCTTATACAGGGTCTCTGAGAGTTGGAACTGACTCAATGGCACTTAGCAACAACAACAATAACTAATAATACAATTATACTTATTTACTTCTAGATAATGAGTTATCTTTCTGTATTCATACAACTGGTTGACTTTTTTTTTCTATAAATATTCCTTCATTTAGAAGTGGAATTGCATTTTCCAGTGTCACCTAAGTGGAAGATTTTCTCTATAATTGAAAATTTTAATAATTTATTGGCTATGAAAAGCAGTATATATGGTGTTTTGATTTCTTTACTGCAGCAATAATATCACCAGGTATACTTTCAAACTCTAAACATTCTTTAAAGATATTATGAAATTATTGGCTATGAAAACGTAACCTTGATCTTTAATTGTTGTTGTTACGTGCCAACAAGTCGGTTCTGACCCACAGCGACCCTGTATAGGGTTTCTGAGAAGCAGCTGGTGAGCTTGAACCACCGACCTTGCAGTTTAAACAGCTTTGCAGTCTGGCGCATTAGCCCACAGCACCACACCGGGACTCCTTGATCTTTAATAGTTATTGTATATTATAGATAGCGGGATTAATATAATATATACTGATATTTAAGGGGTCCTGGTGTGGCACGGTGGGTTAATGTGTCAGACTGCAAAGCTGTTTGAACTGCAAGGTCGGCAGTTCAAGCTCACCAGCTACTCCTCGGAAACCATTAAAGGGTCGCTATGGGTTGGAATCAACTAGACAGCACATTACAACAACAAATACTGATATTTATAGTGTTTTTGTCCTGATGTGGTGCTATTGGATAAGCACTGGATGACTTACCATAAGTCTGTAGTTCAAACCTACCATCTGCTCTTCAGAAACCCTATATAGGATCACTATGAATTGGAACTGACTGGATGGCACTTAAAAACAACATAGTGTTTTTGCACTAAATCCTACTTTTAATAGGAGCAGTTTGTAGTTTCTACTAATTCTGCTGTGACATAATTTTAAATTTTTGCTTTTTTTTTTTTAAGTTCTCACCTACTGAAATCATGCAAATAAAAGAAATGTTTCATTATTTTATATGCCACATCTAATATCTTAATAGATTAGATGAGAACCATTTTTCATTAATACAGTCTAAGGAAAAAAGAAAATTTAATGGTAGAAAAATAATACTGCTCCTCTTAAATCTGGAAATCATACAGAAGACTATTATAAATCTATTTAACAAATAATTACAAATGAACTAGAAAATGCATTTTTATAAAAGTAAGTAGATGGTTGATTTGTGGGACTAATGAAATGATAGATTAATGTGATTCAGTTTCCCCTTTTTTTTCTTCGAAGATTGTGTGTGTTACGCAAGACTTTGAACTAGTTTGAAACAGTTCCGTCATGACAGAACTCTTATATGTGGGATTTTGACCCAAGTAGGAAATGGACATCAGTGCCTCACTCAGAGATACTGCCTGACACGCACTGTAAGTGGAGTGGTTGGCTGCCATTTTTGAGTGTGCCAATGCTTCCAATTTCCTGTTGTTGTTCTGCGCTGTAGACTTGGTTTTGACTCATAGCAACCCTGTGTAGAGGTTCCGAGAGCAGCTGGTGAGTTTGAACTGCTGAACTCTCAGCAATCTAGTACCTGTTCTATAGCACCACACCAAGACTCCTAGTAGCCAAGAAATTATGATACAGTGTGATGGCAAACGATTACAAAGATCTAGAGCTGGCACTAAGGGAGCAGGGGAACCTAATAGCCTTAGAGTATGGTGGTGGTTGTTGTTAGGTGCCATTGAGTCAGTACTGACTCATAGTGACCATATGCACAACAGAACTAAACACTGCCTGGTCTTGTTCCAATCTCACAATCATTGCTATGTTTGAGCCCATTGCTGCTGCCAATCCATCTTGTTGGATGACCAGACAAAGTTTGGCCATCTTGACCTCCAAAGAACACTCTGGCTGCACTTCTTCCAAAACAGATCTGTTGGTTCTTTTAGCAGCCCATGGCACTTTCAATATTCTTCTCCAACACCATAACTCAAAAACATCAATTCTTCTACAGTCTTTCTTATTCACTGTCCAGCTTTCGCATGCATATGAGGTTATTGAAAATACCATGGCTTGGGTCAGGCATACCTTAGTCCTTAAGCTGACATCTTTGCTCTTCAACACTTTAAAAAGGTCTTGTGCAGCAGATTTGCCTAATGCAATACATCATTTGATTTCTTGACTGCTGCTTCCATGAGTGTTGATAGTTGATCCAAGAAGAATGAAGTCCTTGACAACTTCAATCTTTTCTCCATTGGTAAGAATGTGTTTATTGGTCCGGTGGTGAGGATTTGTGTTTTCTTGACATTGAGATGTAATCCATACTGAAGGCTGTGCTCCTTGATCTTCATCAGTAAATATTTTAAGTCCTCTTCACTTTCAGCAAGCAAGGTTGTATCATCTACATATCGCAGATTGTTAATGAATTTTCCTCCAAGCCTTTTCTCTGTCTCTTCACACAAATGTAGTCAGTTTGATTCCTGTGTATTCCATCTAGTGGGGTCCATGTGTATAGTTGCCTTTTATGTTGTTTATAAAAGGTATTGGCAATGAATAAGGCACTTGCTAAATTCTATGAAGTGATCTCCAGAATCATTTCTATCACCAAGGTCATCTTTTCTAACTACTGAACCTTGCTCTTTGTTTCCAGCCTTCAGTTTCCAGTCACCAGTAATTATTAATATGTCTTGATTGCTTATTTTGTAAATTTAAAACTGAAGAAGTTGTTAGAATTCTTCAGTTACAGCATCACTGATTTTAGTGATTAGTGTGTAAGTTTGAATAGTGATGGTCTTAACTTGTCTTCTGTATTGTTGTTGTGACGTGCCATCGTGTTGGTTCCAACTCATAGTGACTCTGTCTAGGTTTTCTGAGAAGCGGCTGGTAGATTTGAACTACAGAATTTGCAGTTGAAATGGACCTTGGGGTCTTCCTTATAGGCATGTGTATTACAGTGAGCATTGTTCTTTGAAGTAGATCATGAAATTTTTTTTGACAATAAAAGTGATGCCATTCCTCTTTAATTTGTCATTCCGGTATGGTAAACCACATGATTTTCAGATTCAAAATGTCCAATATCAGTCTATTTCAGCTCATTAATGCCTAGGATATCGATCTTTATGTGGTCCATTTCATTTTTGGCAACTTCCAATTTTCCTAGTTTCATACTTAGTGCATTCCATGTTTTGATTGTTAATGATATTTGCAGCTATTCTTTTCATTTTGAATTGTGTCCCATCAGCACATGAAGGTCCTGAAAGCTTTACTGCATTTGCACCTTCATGGTCAGCTCTTCTTTGAGGGGGCAGCTCTTCCACTGATGCAGTTTTAATGCCTTTCAACCTGAGAGGCTAATCTTTTGGCACTATATCTAAAGCTGCTCTGCTGCTCTGCTTAGGTTTTCAATGACTAAACATTTAGAAGTCCTCTACCTCTCCTTTCTCCTAGTCTGTCCTAGACCGTAAACTCATCTGAAAACTGGCCACCATGAGTAACCGTGCTGGTATGTAAAATTAGAAGCCACCACAATATGACAAACTGACATATGAGTGGCGGTAGAGTATGTCAGTTTCAGGTAACGCTTCTCAGAAGTTACACTCAGTCTAGAAAAATGAATAAAACGATTGGGAGTGTGGCAGGGATATGAAGTGGGTCTTCGGAGGTTCAAGATTCAAAATGGTAGGAGAAAGAGATGTTTAGTTGATTTATTGTAATGCCTGGAACTTGTACAGGAACTTGGAGATGTGACTGTAGGCTAAAATATACAGCTCTTTTACCATTTTAGAAGTTTTGGATCCTATTCTTACTTAGTAATAAGGACCTACCAAAGGATTTTAAGTAAAATATAATCAGATCTGTGCTTTAGAAGATCATTGGTTTGAGGATGAGAAGGTATTGTTGTTAGGTTGACTCCTACTTATATCCACCCCATCTGACAGAGTAGAACTGCTCCATAGGATTATCTTGGCTGAGAGCGTGAAGGAAACATATCTCCAGGTCTTCCTCCTATGGAGCTGCTGAGTAGGTTTGATCCACTAACTTTTTAGTTGACAGCCGAGAACATAATCATTTATGCCACCAGGACTTCCAAATCTAGAGTTGGAAGGGACCTTAAGGATGGTCAATCCAGTACTCCCAAATTCAGAATAAGTCAATTTTTGTTGTTTACACTGTTAACTGGGGCAGAGCAGGAGCAAGAGTCCAGGTCTCCTGACTTCCAGTTCAGCGCTCTTTTCTGTACTTGACTCATTGCTGATTTGTTCACTTGATATTCCAGTTATCCTAGACTTTTCTAGCCCACAAGCTCACACCTTTGTCTAAGATTTATTCTGTCTTAACCACAGTAGGTCTTGTCTTTTCTCATAACCAGTATTGATTGTTGTTTACATCCTAAGCCTTGCTCTTTTGTTTTGGAATCTCACTCTTGCCATTCACATCTGTTTTCCTAAATCTTGGTTTTGTTTCTGTTGGTCTAGTTCCTTCACTCGTTACTCTGCAAAGGTAACTGACACCAGGCTATAATTTTAAGAGAATTACAGGAGGTTTGGTATGACGCTGTGGGCTAATGTGTCAGACTTCAAAGTCGTTTGAACTGCAAGGTCAGTGGTTCAAGCTCGCTAGCTGCTCCTTGGAAACCCTATATAGGGTCGCTATGGGTTGGAATAGACTCAACAACACTTAACAAGAACAATATAAAGTTATAAATCTACTCCCCAAATTTGATTAATTATACATTATACCAAATTGTATTGCCTCAATGCAGGAATATTTCTTTTTTTTCAAATTAAGGAAATACATGTTTAAATTACAATATATTCTACAATTAAAATGAATTTATGATTAAATGCTATAAATAGGTGCTCTATTACCTTTGGACCAACGACATGGATCGGCCAAGTGGCATCATCGATGGCGTCAAGTGTGGCAGCGGTAGTGAGGTTGGCCCAGGATTGGACATTGTTTCATTCTGCTGTGCATGGGGTCGCTATGAGTTGGATCTGACTTGATGGCACCTGACAACAGTTACCTTTGAAGTCCTGGTGTGGTGCTGTAGGTTAATGCGCCAGACTGCAAAGCCATTTGAACTGCAAGGTTGGTGGTTCAAGCTCACCGGCTGCTCTTCGGAAACCCTACACAGGGTCGCTATGGGTCAAGATTGACTGAACGGCACTTAACAACAACTTTACCTTTGAAGGCATTTTAATATTAGCTTCAGTGGAACTGTAGAAACAGAACACACTGAAAATAACCAAGCATTGAATAGGAAGCCAAAAAAGTAGAGAATGAGAAAAATAACTATCTGTTTTCAAAACATTTGAAAAATGGGAAGAAGAGTGAGAGAGAGTGAGTGGTAATAAGAAGGAAAGGCAGACAAGAGTAATGTACTTTTGGTATAAATAAATCCTAATCATATAAGCAGCCAGGAATCAGCCCAGTGCAGGAAAGAAGATGGATTATATATGCTCACATTGGGGTCTGATCAAAGAATATGGAGGTCCTTGTGGACTTGGGAACCATAGTGAAGCAAGCTCAAGAGGAAAGCAGATGGTTAACTTCTTCATTTGGAAAGGATTTAAATGAGTTTTTGATTATAGTAAATGAAAGATCCTAATTTCCAATAAGGAATCCTGGTGGTGGTGGGTTAACCACTCAATTGCTAACTGGAAGGTCAACAATTCCAATGCCCCAGTCACTCCATAGGAGAAAGATGTGACAGTTTGCTTTCATACAGGTTTACAGTCTTGGACACCCTATGGGACAGTTCTAGTCTGTCCTCCAGAATCGCTGTCAACAGGATTGACTTGATAGCAATGGTTTCAGTTAATACAGAGTTCAAGATAACATGGCTCCATGCAACAAACTTTTCTACATAATAATGGGGAAAGGCTATCTTCTTTAGGGACAGAATGTATTTCTGGAGATAATGTTTCCTTTAAGAAAACTTTGCCTATCTAAATATAACTCTAAAATTTGTGTTGGTTGTTGGGAAATATATGTCCTAGCGATTGTGATATCTACTATGTAATTTTGTTTTATGTTTTCCGTATTATAATTCCTCTGCATGATTCCCGAACCTCCTGTTGTTATTATTGTTGTTAAGTGCCCTCGAGTCGATTCTGACCCATAGTGACCCTATATAGGGTTTCCAAGGAGCAGCTAGTGAGCTTGAACCACCGACCTTGCTGTTCAAACGCCACATTAATCCACAGTGCCACATTTTATGGGGGAGGTTAAATTCCAAAGCCAGAGCCTAGACCTCATATTCCCCTTTAAGAATGCTCTATATTTCTCAGTATGTGTAAGCAATCTGGTTATATATGTATACATTTATATACAAATGTATATACACACGCACACACATATATGTATATATACATATATGTGTGTGCGTGTGTATGTAAATATATATGTATATTACTAACTTTCAGTAAATACTACCATGACTAGTTATTCCTTCAGCGATAAACCTATTGCTGTGTCTTCAATTGATGATAAGTTGGCTTCTATTTAGGTGTTACATTGTAAGATAAATAAAGCGTCCTTGTTTGATGTTTTCCTAGGTATGAATTAATACAGAAGGGGCTCATTGAACTTAGGGACGCTGAGACTGTTCCAGGTGTCTATAGCCAGAACATGCTTTTAGAAAATGAGAACAAAAATTTGAAGAAAGAATTGAAGCACTACAAGCAGGCAGCTGAGTATGTTATTTTTTAATGCCTCTTCAAAATGTATGTATTATTTTGGAGTAAATAAATGTAATAATTGAAGGAAGTCAGTGTGAGCATGCTGGTAAGTAGGCTAGAGGTCTAATTCTGGAGAACGGAATTCTATTTAGTTTCTGGTTGGTTGTAAAGAATGTAAAAGGCTTCACTAACAGATGAACTGAACAGATGACCAGGACTCACGCAACTGCTGCTCGCTGGCAGGAATGAAAGGCAGGGGACAGGAAGCAGTGATTTTGTGATGTGACATTCGCTTACTTATGTGTTGTGGTAATCTTTTCATGGAGTGTGAAAGTTTCCCCTGTGAAGATTAGCTAATTTCTGAAATAATAAATTATAGAGCAGAGAGGAACGAAAGCATGAGTTTATTCCTAGTAGAAGAACTTCATGACTTGAAAATTCCCCCAAAGAAATCTTTATTTTGTAATTTCTTAGCATGTCTTTATGCATAAAGGAGAAACGTTAGCTGTTTAAAATGAAATCTCTCTGCATTTTTCTTCTTTTTTACAGTTAATGGAATGTATGTAATTTTCAGCAAGCACAGCTAGATTAGCAGTCAGTGTAATTCTGGAAAAGGCAAAAATGTGGATGTGTTGACTTGGATGGATCTGCTCATTTAAGACAATGTTATATGGAAAAATCTCTCCTTAGATAAGGAGCTGAGACAGTTCACTATTCATTTATTTTTATTAAACATATTTTAGGAGCATTTTCCCTGTTAAAGAATCCTATTAAAACAAAAAAAGTATATCAGCAGAACTACTATATAGAACATAATAGTTTTAAGAGGTTTCTAAAAAATTTTTATGCAAAGGAACAATACTACTGACTGCAAAGTGGAGGAAATATTTGTAGGTCTTAATAAATATTTAGGTTTATTCTAAAATAAACAAAGCCCTACTTTAAAAAGATGGCTCTAAATAAAGAATAATTGTGTCATCATTTATTCAGTTATATGCATTTATAGAAATATATGTACAAGGTATGTCAGTTTAATATTTTCTATGAATGTACATATTACATAGAAATGCATGATGATCCACAGAATGAATGATGTGTTTTTAGAACTAGTGATCTCTCTATTCTTAGTTCTATTTCTCAAAAGTGGTTTGCACTGTTTGCCCTGGTGCTCACTGTGATTTTGCATAGACACCTAATGGATATGCTGGGAATTTGACAACATAGAGTTTTCAGAGTGCTGCCTGGCAAACTATTTCAGTTCCTGATTTCTTTGAATGATTGCTTGAGTTTGCTAATTTTCTTTTGAATAGATACGTCCTCTTTATGCAATGAGTTTTACCCACTGACATTAAGTAATCATTGGTTACTGATTGTTCATTATTTAAAAACTATCATCAAAATTATATAAGCTGGCATGAGCTGGGCTGCTAACCTCCAGGTCAGTAGTTTGAATCTCACAGCTGCTCTGTGGGAGAAAGATAAAACTTTCTGCTCCCATAACTATTTGCAACCTGGGAAACCCTATACAGGGTAGCTATGCGTTGGAACCAACTCTGTGGCTTATAACCACCATCACCATTAATGTAATTTTAAAAGGAACCATGTAGAAATAGATACATTCAAATGAAGTCTGTCTCTTGTTTTAGTTTATGAAAATATCTGATTATCATTTTAGTTTCAATGGCTTAAGGGTATCTCACAAGTCTATTTCATTTGATATGAACTGTAACCAATCTGAAAAGGAAAATATTTATTTTCTTTAATCTACCTGACATGTAAATCCAAAGGAAAACTGTTTGGCCCTTGGTAGATGCTTAGAGTAAAGCTTATTTATTGAATTCATGTTTACATAGCACCTTTTGCTAAGTATGTTCCTGTAGCCTAGTTTTATTGGATATGTTCCAGAAAATACAGAATGAAGTTTTTTTTTTTTTAACTTTTAAGTGAAGGTTTACAAAGAAGATAATCAGTTATATACATTCAACAAATCATACATTTTGATTCATCTCAATGATTGCAATCCCCTCCATGCAACAATAGTTAACCCATTGCTTCCCTGTGCTTCCTATTTCCAGTCCACCTGCCTTCCCTTCCCTTCACAACTCTGCCCTTAGGTAAATGTTGGCCTTACTAGTGCTGTTTTACCTACTATATCCTAGCTTCTGCTTGGCTGCAAATTGGCATACAAAGATAAGTTCTGTTACAGACCTTAAGGGTGGTTGAGGGCCACAGTCTTGGCTTCTAGTCTCTTTCTGACTAGTAACCATGGCCTTTTCTATAATTTTGAGTTTTGTTCTATATTTTCTCTCACTCTATTGGGACCTTCCAATGTGATCTCTTTCAGAGTAGTTGGTGGTGGTAGCTGGGCACAGCTAGTTCTTCTGGCCTCAGAGTTGTGGTGACTGATGTTCACCTGCTCCGTTGGATCATTGGACTAGTTGATTCCAAGCATCTTCAATGTTCAAAACTTTTCTTTATTCCGCACATGAAAAGACCAGTAGCTGCACCTTAGATGACAGTTCATGAGCTAAATTTAACATACCAGTCGCTACTCACCAAAGTAGGACATAGAACATTTTCTTTGTGGACTATGTTATGCTGATTGACCATGGTGTTTGGTTTGCCAGTTGATCATGATGTCCCCTGGTACTATGGACCTGAGCCCCCAAACCCAGGAACTCATTGTATTAAGATGTTTGATAGTGTCTAAGAAGTTTTCAGCATGGGTAGTATGGTGACTTTATATGATAAGCACTAGACTGCAAACCACAAAGTCTGTGGTCCAAGCCTGCCAGCCGCTCCATGGGAGAAAGATGAGGCTTTCTGCTTCCACAGATTTAAAAGCTTTGGAAACCCTATCTAGGGCTCCTGTGAGTTGGAACCAACGTGACGACACTTAACAACAACATACTCCACCACTTTCATAGGTGTGTTTTCAGAAAAGTGAAATACCCACGTACATACCCCTTCTTTCAAACCTTTATAGATTTCTGGGTAGATTCCTATTTTCCCTTTCATGCCTGTTCATTAGTGTATCTATCTGTATATCTACCCACAGAACACTGGTGTTCAAGGGTTATGTATAGACCATTATTTACCTCTATCCCCTTTAACCTTTGCATACCTCCTTGTGTCTTCATGTGTCTTCATCATTCTTCTGTCCACCTCCCTCTTGTATATTGAGCTCCCTGTCAGCAGAGTTAACACATGTCTACTCTCTAGCCAGTGACCTCCCTCTTCTTGTATATTAAGCTCCCTGTCAGCAGAGCTAACACGGGTCTACTCTCTAGTCAGTGACCTCCCTCTTCTTGTACATTGACCTCCCTGTCACCAGAGCTAACACATGTCTACTCTCTAGCCAGTGAATTTCTCTCCCTTCACTTCCACCCCTGGCAGCCATCAAATAGTATTTCTTTTAGCAGGAAAACCTTTTCTTGAGTTTTTGCAATAGTCATCTCATATAATATTTGTCCTTAATTTCACTTATCATAAAGTCCTCAAGATTCATCCATGTTATGAGGTATTTAATAGATTCATCACTATTATTACCTGCACAGTATTCCATTGTAGCAAAGTTTGTTTATTCATT